ATTGCGTGATATAATAAAATTCTCAGAGATGTTTTCTCTGTGTTTTTCGACGTTAATCTTGTATTCTTCTCTGTGAATTTGCTGATAGAACTAGCCTTGCAGAATAATTGCTATTCTGCCCAGCGACAGCATGCTGAAGAAAGCACCCCCTCTTCGCCCAGACATCTCTATCACAACAAATTTGGTGCAGGGCTCCAAGCTCGTGACTGAAGAAATTTCTCAAGGGTCACTGTTGGGGGTTTCCGATTCTTTGAAACAAGCGGTGCAAAAATAGTCTAGCTATCTAACTTCGTCAAAGACGTAACACAAGGAATGATGACATCAAAACCTTGTGATATTGTGATCCAAAATCAAACATTTGAAAGAATTAAGTTTGTTGTATTGGATAATTTTAATCAGTTCCGGATTCAGGAATGTTTGTGAGCTAAGTTGATCGTCGATAGCCTCAATAACGAGGTCGTTTATTACTATGTACTTTAGTAATATTAAAATTTCTCCGATCAATATATAAATTCGCTAAAACGCAAAAATATAAAGCTTCAAATAGGGCTCTTGTGCAAGCAAGTGATGTCAACAATCTAAAGAATGACAAGTAACCGTTTCTTAGACGGGAAAATCATATAAAATATTCAAAAATATCGAGTCACCACCGGATTAGAAAAGGCAAAATCAACCCATATCATCCACTGTTAGATTATCCAATTCACATAACTCTAGGAAGCCATCAATTAGAACATGGTTTAAAAAAAAAATTGTGACAATGAATGGTTTGTCTTTTTGCTCCCACCCCATATCTTCACCCCCGATGGACCCTTCCTCCCATTTAACTGCTCAGCCTACTCCTTTCTCCTGCCATTGTAAAAAAATGGATGATGGCTCAGCTCCTCGTCCAGATGTTCTCATTGGATTTAATAACTATGTATAATATATAACAGAGAATTAACTTATTAAGGTCCCTATGCTTCCTCATCTGGCCTATTTTATTTATTATTATTTTTTAAAGCAAAAAAAAAAAAAAAATCCTCCGGTGATTCTAATGCCATGTGACATCGTCGTGAATCACCCTACTAGATCCAATATAGGATCTGTGTGCCGGGTAGACACTGAAACCATAACTAATGCTTACTTTGACCTCTATCAAATTAATGCATAAACTTGTAAAAGTATGTTATTTCTTGTGTGTTTTAACTAGATTTGTAAAACTTGTGAGTTATAATCATGTATAACCATCCTTCCATTTCTTCAATCTAACATTTTCTTTTGCAACAGGTGATTAGAAGAAAGAAATACTTTGATACCGTTCTCGTGTCAAAAGGGTAATGCACAATGTATCATATGTGGGTGCAAATGATCTAGTTGTGTTTGTGTTGAATTTTATAAATCGAACAAAATGTTGAAATCTTAACATTTTTTCTTAAAAAATAAGGTATAATTTCTTATTTTTGTGTTCTGATTTAAAAAGATTCACCACCTAAGAAAAATCCTGCCTCGTCCCTTTAAAGGGTACCTACAGAAGTCTATTTGTTCCACTTTTCACTTGTATATGGAATAATTAGTTAATTACCTTGAAGTTCTGACTTGAGACAAACAAATTGAATTAACTTGTTGAAGTTGTCCAAACAGAAGCTTAATGTTATTAATGTAAGACTAGGGCTTCTCTTGGCTTAGTCAGGTCACAGGGTTTCAGGGAATAACGACTGTCAAATAAAGCTTCAAAGGACATTAATATAAGAGTTTTTTCCCCTTACAAAATAGCCATTTTTAAGACATTTAAAAAAAAACTTGTAACCGTAGTAATTCAAGTAGTAAAAACGAAATCTTAGAAGATTAATGATCCGAGTCGAGTCTCATTTGGAAAAGGGTAAAAAGAAAAAAAGAAGAAGAAGAAGAAGAATTGTTACTTTATGATAATATGACGGTGAAGTTAATCCTGGGCCTCGTATACACTGCCCATCAAATACATGACTGAACCAATTACATTAGCATATGGGATTTTTGACATTCTATTAAATTCTTAATCAGTTTTGGGACAAAAATCAGATGA